GAGAACCTTTGGATGTCCTGTTGCTGATCATGAGTGTACCAGACAGGTGCCTTGATTGACTGGGTTGCATGAAAATGATGTAGAACAGAGATGCCAGTAAGTTGGGGCCTTATGAGTAGTGGGCCTAGAGCAGTGGTGTGCAGGTGTGTGATGAAACATTTGTGGTGGGGACATGTGGACCTGCCATGGGCTTCCAAATGGCTTGTGACTGACATGGTGCAGCAGCAGACCCTTATAAGTAAAGGAATCTTGTTATATAGAGAGGTTTCAGGGAAATTTTCAGAATCAGGTTGCTATTGTCAAAAAGCCAAGCTCTGTGAAATAGAAGCATGGTTGGTGCATTGTCCTAGGACCCTGACCCACCACACGTGACAGAACTCCCTCCAGCACTGTGTCCCAGTTTAACTCATTGTATTTAGTGAAGCAAATAGCATACTCGCAGTGCAGAAGCAAGAAACACCACGAAAAGTGGAGGATGACCAAATGGCTTCACAGTCCCCACGGGGAGACACTTAGCCCCCAGTGGCCTCAGTTTACCTACAAAGAGAGAATTCAGCACTTTTGCCTCATGTTCATTGGAAAATCAGAAACCATGTCCTCTATCTCAATTAGATGTAGACCCAGCTTTGATGGTCTCACCACAAAGGAAGCTAAAGCTCCTGACAACAACATATATTTCAAGAGCGCAAACTCAGAGGCAGTTTCTCAAGAAGTCTTTAGGCCAGCAGAGCACCATGTTTGTGGAGTGTTTATCCTGTCTCTTACTTATGGAATCTCCTCTACCACCTCCAAAGTTGTTAACTCCTGAGAATTTTTCATTCCACATATGTATTGAAAGATTTTTTATCTCTTCTCCTCGAATTGCATCTTACTTGGGGACAGGGTAATGTCAAGGCATTGTTCTGGATGACAGTGGGAAGATTTTTGAGTAGCACATATTTGCATACACATTGGATTCATTTTCCTATTTTTCATTTTAAATACTGAATCCCTGACACTAACCCATACTGTACTAGACTCTGACTATGAATCCTAATATGATGAAGAAAAATAACCCAAACTGAATAGAAATACAAGCAGTTCAAAGGAGGCATGGTGTGTAGTTGGACAGGCCTTTTGCATTATAAAGGGTAGGTGTTATGAATCTAGTCCAATGTAATAGTTCTCCCTGTGTTTTTAAATTTAACAAATATGTGAATTGCTGTCTCCCTTTCTCTGTAGCCTATTCAGCACATGTAGTTTTACATGCACGTATAGAATCCTACCCGGTTTCCAGCTACATTCTTGTGAGGTGGCTGACTTGTCAGATACAAACTGTGAGAAGAGATCACTCCTCCTAAATGCTGTTGGAACTGAAAATCAACCTGTGGGTAAGCTTTCTACTTGAACAACATGATACATAAATCCATGTTCAGTAAAATAAATATTTTTGGATCTAAGGATGATATATATTTCAGGATGAATTTCAATGGGCATATATATTTCTACTTTTTAATGTGTCTGTGTGTGTGTGTTTTGTGTGTATATATACATATATGTATATATACACACACACACTCTCCAGATTTTACAAAATATTAAATATTTGTGTTTTATTTTACACTGCCTAAATTCATGTTCATGTATGTGTATTTATAATCAACTTTTCACAAGATTATTCTCAGAAATATTCATCCACCTGAAATACATATTTGTTTCCTAGTACTGAAAACTAACTTCAGTGAATGGTGCATAGAAATCCTAACATTTCTAAAGTAACTAACCCTGTTAAACATCAATGCAAGTAGAGTCCAGTGGGACATGATGTGTATTTTGACATTCATTTTTATTCAACACTGCTACATTACTATTTCTTCAGTTGATGCACATCATAGGATATATATTTTATCCTCAAGTTCACAAATTTCTAGGCATTTGGTTCACTTTCAATAAAATCCTGCTTCAGAACACATGAATTCCTCCATGAGACTTTTTTCCAAACACATTATTTTGGATTTCCATAATCACTTTTGAAGCAAAACTCACATAAAATTCAGGGTAATCTATAACCCCTATATTAACATTATATGTATAACTGGTTGAAATGAATGATCCTGTATCAGTATAAGATTTCCTATATATTTTCAGATATCAATTCAATCCATTATTTAAATTGGAACCATTTATATTTTTCACTCACACTATGGTCTATTCATGCATTATCTGTATACTCATAGACCCAGGGTACACCTATTTGTACCCCCAAATGCTAATTTATAGGTCTTCAACATATTGCTCCCAAAAATGGTGGAAGAAATAGTCATGTCACCTGATCTACATATACATTTTATCACAGTGATATTCTGGACACAAAATGCAGAGGTCACACTTATGATTGTACCAAAGCCTAATTGAAAAGTGAGCATGGATTACTCAAAACATCCTTGTCCAGGTTGCCTAATGCTCTCAAATATCAATCCTATTGGTGACTACACATTTGTTTCTGCCTAAGATTACATATTCAACCTCAACCCTGTTAAAAATGTCTAATCCTATCACTTACTTTATACTTTGCTTGATTTCCTAATGTCTATATTCATATCTGCTTTCCTACATATTTTTTCCAGTTCATCATTGTGACTGACTCTTCACATGTGGTAACATTTAAATTCACTATCTAAAAGACACCCTATTGCTAAAGAACTTTTGGTCCAAATTCCATACTCACTATTCTTCCTAAACCTACTGACTATCTTCCTAATCCTACCTAGTATCTCTTTTTAACTGAATGTTCTCTTCTACATTGAATCATCCAAGGTACAAGGGCCTGTGCCATTTTATATGGATTTATTGGAGACATCTGTACAGAATGTAATTTAAAGCTAATTACACAATCAAGAACCCAATGCCCTTCTGGCCTTCAAATCTTACTTAGATTTTTGTTTTCATACATATATTTCACATCTATATTATTATAAATATCACAGGTTCCCAATAGCATTCTTAATCCAGCAGAATGATTCCTAACCCAAATCGAATATGTTCTTAACCTTAAGCATACACTGTTCCTTCAATCTAAATTTACACAAGAGCAGGGACAGAGTTGGTCTTACAATACAGGAATGTAAGGGATCTTCCACCTGCTGATAACCTCAAAGGTCTATGCAGAAATGACTCCTGGAGAAGATGTAGGCAGCTAGGAAGGACCTGAGAAAGCAAAAGTCATCTTCCGTGGCAAACAACCTGGCCAGGATGAAGGGATGTGTTTGAATGAGCCTCTCTCTTCTTACTGAAGACAAGAAGGACCAAACCAGGCCTGTGTGGAGAGCTTTTCCTGCGTACCTATGGTTGATATACCATTCAAACTTGTGAAAGTGTAACAGGATGCAGGGGCAGCCTCCATCTCATGAGACCCTTGGAAGCAACAGTTAGGACAAAGTGGTTTCCAAGGCAGTGACCTCATTAAGTTCCTGAAGGAAGTGACCTCACCACACTTCATTGGTGATGGAACTCTCTGAACTTAGGATCCAGCAAGCCAGGCAACCAGAGGCAGTCCCAGTGCCAGTCCCAGTGGGCTCACTTGTTTGGATTTACCAAGGATAGAGTCAGTCTTTCTTGGTACCTAGAGATGTGAGGATGGCCAGTTGCCAGAAAAGCTCTGAAGGGGCTCTTTCCTGAGAAAGCAGGTATTGGCTCACCCCTGGCCCTTGAAACTTCACAGAATTGGCCAAGGAGGCCAGATCTGAGACAGGACAAGCAATTTCGGGGGATCATTGTATGGCCCACCACTCATAGGACACTGCGGGTAGTCACAGACCTCCTTGGGGGAAGGAGGTGGCTTTGTGGGTGTGGGTGTGAGTTTGTGGTTTTGTCTCATGTTCTGAGAAGAGCTAGGAAAGGCAGTTTCTTTGGTTTGGAGTGGACTGTTTCTAGCAAGTCTTTTGACAAGGTGAGTGTTGCTATGTCTTTGTATCCCACTGTGTCCGTGGTTGTAGACATTAGAAAAGAGAATGCATAATGGATGCGACCTGTCTAGTAGAAAGCTTTCAGCATTCATCCTGCCCAATTTATGAATGGAGTGCTGCTTGCCTTATTTATCAGCAAAACCTACTATCATTTTAATTTCTTGTTTTTTTTTTTCTGAATTCTGGCCACTCTTCAGAATAGGCTCATGGTTTTGTTTCCAAGATATGTACCACCTCCAAGCTTGGTGACATGGCCACGTACTGGATAGCTGAAAGGAATGGCGAGCATCTCAGAAAACTCAGATATTAGTGGGCCCAGTAAAGACTCAGTGGAGAAACCCTGCTTTGGGCCTTTTGCTTACCTATTGTTGTGTTTCCCTGGATGTCAGCAATATCTTTGCCTCAGGACACCCCTTTGTGAAGCCTGAAGAAAACAGTTTTCAAATGCAAACGAATGGGCATCACCTGTGGCTCTTTGCTTAATTGCTTTGCAAAGGGATGCTTCTTAATCAGCCTCTTAGCCCTGTGTGAGGCTATGGCTTAGATAGTCAGCACCTGATGAATCTCAAGAAAGATCCCATATGTGCATCCAAAGGCAATATGGCAAAAAAACAGTTATTGTGGATGAAGTCTCTCGCCTTTCTCAGTAAGGTTCCTGACTTCCACCAAGTGAGATTATGGATTATTTGGGTCAAATGAGTTTTTAAAAGCCCTGCAGAGGCTAGCCATTATGTGCTTGGGTTTTCTCGTGACTCCAATTCACACAAAGAATCTATACCCCACCATCACCAGTCCTCAAAGTGGAGAAGCTGAGCAGTATTAAAGGCAGGCCTATTTGATCACTCCTGGTTCAAAGGAAGGGTGTCCAGGCCACCCTGACATTAGGCAAATCAGGGGCAAGGGAGCCTATTTTGGACAAGTCTTAGGGTGCGCCCCTCATGGAAACCTCCAGCCAGAGGTTATGAGGATTGTCTATATGGAAGAAGATGAGGGCCTTGTGGCAGTGTTTTGGTTTGAATTGTGGTCATTTGTGTGGCGGTGGAAGAGATGACTGGGTCCGCCTAAGCTTGAACTCTGGTGTGATTACCTTTGGAGACTGAGTTCTGGAACTGACCTCAGATAAGTATTTCCATGAATTTTTTTGGGATTTTCTGAGGCCACGCATAAGAGTCCCCCCTGGAAACTGAGATCCAAGCCCAGGGTGTCTTTCCATAGAACACTGGTAATCTCAGCCAGGATTTCACATGATTTTATTCTTAAAGACCTGGCAGCCATAGTTGAGAGTCAAAACACACCTGGACCTCACATTGTAGACCTCAGTGGGCCTGGTTTCATGTGAAGTTTTGTTCATTCTTTGGAAGCCTTGTTTGTGAGAGTTCTCCAGAGCTTTTATTAAAATGATCTTTCTCTCCATTTAATAGTTCCTGAATGAATGGAAACCCACAGTTCCCACAACTTCATCTTTTAAAAATGGCTAGATAAATATTATGCAGTCTTTGAAATTCCCATGACCAGGTGGCACTAGAGAACCTTTGGATGTCCTGTTGCTGATCATGAGTGTACCAGACAGGTGCCTTGATTGACTGGGTTGCATGAAAATGATGTAGAACAGAGATGCCAGTAAG